TCCACTCCTGGTTGACGTGGAGCTGCAGAGACGAATGTTCAGTGAGAGAAGGTCTCGAAGAGCGCAAATGGAGACATTACTGACCTGCTCGTACTTGAGCATGTTCGCCTTCACCGCTGCCGTGTTCAAGAACAGGTCGGCATGGGGGCCCCTCCAGTAGTCAGAGAATTGCTGGAACGTCAGGTTCGCATTTTTCCTGAACCATAACATCATCCTAACGCGGCCAGCTACGACATCGCGTTCGACAATGGAGGGAAGAACACTCGCAGTGGTGACTGCGATGAGAGCGAGGAAAAAGACGATGGCAGAGCGCATTGTGAAAGAAGACAGAACACAGAAGGACTATGAGAATGAGAGTGCAAGGAACTTGCTGAAGAAAAGAAGAAGAATCACCTCCCTTTATATACGTCCTCGCGTTCATTAGCTGGGGGTCCCATTAATGGTGTTCACCCTGACATGGCACGGCCAGCCGCATCGATACGAAAACCTCTCAGTGTTGCTTGTGCCCACTCCTTGAACTTCGATGCATTTCTGCATTTCAGCCACCGTTCTTGCATTGGAAAACCTGTTCGAGCCCATGTCAAACGGCACCCGTGCCGTCCTGTCATTATTTTTAGTTAGCGCGATGGACGCCGGGCTGCGAGTGTCTGAGAAATTTGGCCGTACCAGGATATAATCAGTGACAGCAAACAATCTTCATCCCAGATCTGACTGTCCGAATCGCACTAATGCCCGCCATCAGTCATTCATAGTCAAAGCGGTAGGTCAAAGCAGAGTCCGATGGTAGTCCTCGAGAGGCCTGCCTGGTCACACTGTCCCGCAAGAATTCCGATGTTCCTTCTTACATTAGTATTGCGCTCGTGTTTGCCGGAAAAATTCACGTACTATTTTTGAAGGTGTTCGTGATCAAATCCACTTTGCAGAATTATGGAGGGACTGTAGACAACTACCCATCGCACAAAAACTGAGGTCAGATAGCGTGTAATAATCGAGCCACATCGGGCTCATAGAATGACTGAATCAAGACTGGAGTCCGGGACGAGACTTCAAGGAGCTGATATCGTACCACTGCTCCCTGAGATGGCTGACCATCGACTGGGCATTTGCGAGCCGAGATTTGGTTACTCTTGAAGCCTGGAGGAACCCATAGACGTCGTCATTACCACTGGAGGATAGACGAGCCGCCGACAAGAGCCCAATCCCAGACTAAGAGAGACGGCAGGAGCGCCACCATCCCAATGCGATGCCCGGCCAACAAAAACATTGACAACACCGTGCCTAGGATACACAACGCCCCCGCCACCGACGCCTAGGTTCGGAGTCGATAACTAGTGAATGCCGCTCGGGAAAAATGGATTGATGTATGTATGCACTCGCGCGTCTTCAGTAGGAGATGAACGTTGAAAGAAATGATTCCATTCAGCCACTCGATGATATCAGTCGAATGGTCGAATAAGACTAAGCTAGCCTCCTCAAAAGGTTCTAGGAAGTGATTAGTGAATAGGATTGCAGGTTCCGGGTCAAAGCTATTCACCTCAAGACCTTGGCTCTGTCCATACTCGCCAATAAGAACCGCCAAATGAGTTGAAGGACAAAAGAGGTCCGGGGAGGGAATGCATCGGAATGTCTCCAAGCGACAGAACAACTCAATTGCCAGCTCTCTCTCCTTCCGATCGCGTCCTTCCGTGTTGGATAGCCACACCGGCTCCCATTTGTCGATATTCAGATTAGAGAATGCCACATTAGCCTCCTCAGAAATGCCTGGCGAACGCGTGAGTACATAAGAATTGGTTCCTGAGTTGAAACTATGGTACTCCACCTGGGAACTTGGCTCTCTCCATACTCAGCATGAACAATTGCTGTCGAACATCCCTGAAGGCCTGAATACCGCCAATGAGTAGGAAAGAGGCCCAAAGAGGAATGTATCGGACGTCTCCAAGCGAGAGAACAGTTCAATTTTTTGACACTCCCCGATCTCTTGCTTGCGCGTTTCCGCGGTAAATACCTTTTTTTTTCTTGACTTGAACGGAGACGCTAACTCGAATGCGAACATAACCGCAGCCAGACCTCTTGGAAAACACACAAAATGGACATTGATAGACACACCGGCGCATGTGCATCGAATTCGCCCAGGTACCTCAATTGACTTTCATGGTGCGATCTTCAACGAATGTCATGTTAAGTCTCAAGACGAATCACGATGAATGAAAACAGATACTCACCAATTTTAAAACCACTCGACTGTCACAGGTCTTTCTTCGTCCTATACCACTAACAATCCACGGATGACGCGATTCCAGAGCCCGATACATTTTCTGTCCCACTGCCTGCTGTCCTTGAACATGAACTTGAAGTGGGTTGTCATAAGATGATTCATCGTGAATTTTGGGGTTGGAGACAACTTGGAGAACTCGCCGATGCCCCGTAGGTCGGGTTCATGATGCTGGACTCTGGAGTCTGGTGAAGAAGGGTGCCAGGTTCCGGGCCGCGATTCGCGTTCAAATTTCACACACACCGGGCCCAGGCCTTCTTCGATACAACCACAGTCCACTAGCCGTACGCAGTCCTCCACGATACTTTCTCCAACGGCAAATTTTATTGTGGTGGGCTATAGCATTGCCATCGGCGTCTAAACCTGTTGTAAGCGTCGAGGAATACAATCAAGTCCTCCTGGGATCTGCTTTGAGTGGAAAGGTCCAACGTCTTGCCACGGTCAAACCTCCTCTAAGTTCTTGCTTGTTCTCTCGGAAACTGAAGCCCTGGTTCTGTTCCCAGTCGTAGAGTTGAGTATTCACGGGAGCCAAAGTCAAGTCCAGAGTCTGAAGTCAAAGAGTCTGTTACTGTAACGAGCGCTGCTAGTCCCGAGTCGGGGTATCCTGAGTTCCTTGATCCGAGGGATCTACTCTTGATGACATGGGAAACTTCCAGACAAATACAACCTTACCGGTACCGTCGTCCGCGATTCGCGAAGGTCTTACCCATCACTGCCCACAGCGTGAGATAAATATTCCTCGCCCCATACATAGGCACCCGTCGAAAGTCGAAACGATAGAGAAGCAAGCTCACCCTGCCCGAGCTCCAAATTCCATCGAAACACGAAACGGGAGTCTAGACAGACAGGCAGACAGACGAACAAACGAACTCTGGAGCCATCAATCAACATCAGAGATACCATCCAGGGATCCCATATGCTACGTGCTATGGACAATCACACGCCGGACATCCCTGGCCGACACACGCAAGAGAGAACCAATAACACAATTCATTTGCATTGACTGCATAGTAGGGTATAGGTAGGTAGATTGGGTAGATGTCATCAGGTGAAAAGGAAAGATCAAATCAAATAAGTGACAGAAAATCGAGACGAGACGAGAAACGACAGATCGAAACACGGCAAAAGAGATCAAGCACTAGGCGGAGAGGATAACGAGTAATCATCAAGACACACACGAAGGGCAAGGTAAAAAAGCGTAGCTTAAACACCAAGAGCAAGAGATAAGAAACAAATGGAAGTGGGGGGATTTAAACCGTAGTCATCAAAACCCACCAGCGGTCCTCCCAAAAAAGATATGGAGAGCGCTTAGTGGCGACGCTTGGCCTCCAAATGCCTCTTGACAACGCTCCTTCCCTTGATTCCAACGCTGCGACGACGACGGCAGTGAGCGGTGGTTCCGTTACCGTTGCCACCCTGGTTCTGGTTCTGCTCGCCACCGTTGTTGTTGTTGTTGGAGTTGTCACCAGAGCCGGAGCCACCTTGGAGGTTCTGTCCCTCCTGTCCCTGGTTCTGGTTCTGCTCACCGCCGTTGTTGTTGTTCTGGTCGTTGTGGTTGTCGTTACTGCCCTGGTAGCTTCCACCACCGTTGTTGTTGTTGTCGGTGTTACCGCCCTGGTTGTTGTTGTTGTCGCCACCCTGGTTCTGGTTGCCGTTGTTGCTCTGGTCGTTACCGCCCTGGTTTCCGCTGTTGTTGTTGTTGTCGGTGTTGCCACCCTGGTTGCCGTTGTTGCCAGCAGGAGGCTGCGAGGAACCAGAAGCACCGTTCCAGAGACCGGGGCCGACTTCGGGGAAGGAGGCAGGGCTGGTGAAGACGCTGTAGTGGGCGAGCTCGCCGTCGGTAGGGTAGAGCCTGCGGAGAGGAGCAAAGAAGGGATGATCAATAACCTGAAACTGAAAGGGGATAGGAGAGGAACTCACGATCCGGCCTTGGTACCGTAGGGCAGCTCGGTATCACCACCGTTGACGACTTCGACTTGCAAGCAACCAACGTAGTTCTGGGGACCAGTACCGTAGTTTCCGTTCCATGGGTTGTGGACGGCAGCGAGCTAGGTGAAATTTGAGAGTCAGTACGTAGGAAGAGAGAAAGAAAAGACGTAGAGCAGCTCACCTCACTTCTCAACATGTACTGGCCCTTCTTCAATCCGCTGGGAATCTTGGAAGAGTACGAACTTCCATTCTCAATCATCTGGGCCATCGCCCATAGTCCGTCACTCCTATACGGCTCAGGCTTCTTCTCCATCGAACTCAAGAGGTGTTGTACTGGGCTACCTCCGTTCAACCCCGCGAAATCAATCTTCTGCCATCCGATCTGGCTCGCATCGACAGACTTGCAGTCCCCATTGCACGACCCGATGTAAGTGATGATAGGACCCATAGCGTGGACGAAAGTTCCAAGAGGCCAGCCATCATTCTCCAACTCGTGAGTCGCACCTTCCCACTGCCACTTGACCTCGTCACCAGCGTTGACCTGGGCAACTGCAGGTGCAGCACCAGCTTCTTGACATGCCATCTTGTTGTCGTTGTTGAAGTCGTTGGGGAGGAGGTAAGAGGGGAAGTCGGCCTTGTAGCCTTTACGGATGGGGGTGTTGCCGTTGCGGCCGTCACCGTCGTAGTAGAGGTTAGGTGCGTCGTACCATTTCCCGGCGATGGTGACACCCCTAAGCTGGCCGTGGGCCTCGACAAAGGGTGTGAAGGGAAGAAGGGTGAGGACGGTGAGGAGAGTTTGGAATTTAGTGCTGAACATGGTCCTTCCGAGATGAGAAAGTGTAGAAAGGAGAGTGTTTTCTTCTAAAAGATAGTGGTGGAAGGAATAGGAACAACGAGGGGAGGGAGAGAGGCGGAGAGGAGAAGAAAAGTGTCGACGGTGACTGAGTTGATAAGGGAAGAAAAAACAAGTGCTGGCTCAAATCACCCTGTTATTATAACCCGGAAAGCAAACTCTACGATCAAAGATTACATAATATTCGGCAGCATCGGCAGTTTCCAACTGAATTCTTTTTACTTATTTATTTTCACTAGCGCTCGCGAAATTACCGCTCTGGACTTGAACAACCTTTCAACATTCCAGGTACCAATTACTCAAGCCCCTCCTCGTTCTCGCTCGGGGCCCCTTCATGTCTTCACCGCCCACAGCCCAGAATGTCCAACAAGCCTGAGGTTGCTAGGGCACCGACATACATAACAGTAGCAAATCATCAAAAATTCATAATTCATTCCTGCACCCTCCCGTTCCTGAACGACATGCTCATCAAACAAGCGAGCCGCGATCATGACATTGACGAGACGACGGGGGGTCGCATCAGGTCGCATCCTCTCTTGATCAAGTCCAGGCTGTGATTCCCTTCCGAGGCGTGTCCATCAGCCAACTATCCCCTTCACAGACTCAGAACAAGGAAGAAAGACATGCCGCTCGCTGTCGCTGTCAAACGGAGTACACTTTACCGACTCCTTACTCGGGCTGCGTGTCCCTACCCGACGACAGGGCGACTAATACATAGCTAGGCGACAGGGGTCCTTATAATCGACCCTGTTTTCGAGGGCAATGAGGGCAAGTTACGGTAACGGCCAAGTACGGCGACCTGAGCGCTTGAGCCTTTGGTCCTTCCATTAAAGAGCTTGCCTGTCGGTTGTGAATCCAAGCTTTCAAGTTCGTCTACCAGCCGAGGTTACAAGTCCCGCTCCGAGCGAGCGAATAACTGGGAAGATCTTTAAAACTTCCGCCACACTTCTCAAGCTGGAAGGCTCCAATCAACGTTACACTATTTTACTCACAGATGACGAGCATACCTCATTGTACGCTCCAACAAGTGTATTGATATTTGATCAACAGCATCTATTTTTGCATCCTTGCGACCCCGAGAGCCCGTTGCTCGGAGATGGGTCTTCATTGGCTTCTCTCCGAATTTGAGTGATTGAGTGCATGCATACCTTATAGTCCGAGTCTCTGCGAGACAAGAGGCTGGATATCGAGACGAAGGCACAGAAAGAAAAAGGAAATGAAAATAAAATAAAATAAAAACCACTGTTGCTCGGGGGTATTGACCACCGCAGGGGTCGAACCTGCAATCTCCTGATTTCGATATGTTGTCGCAAACAACGTATATCGTAGTCAGACGCGATGCCATTTCGCCAGGCGGCCATTTCTCATTCTAGTCAAAGATGGCATCAGGTTGAGCAGGTGTTGCAAACGCGGGGAGAGCGGGAAAAGATGGGCTCGGAATCGGTGAGCAATACCGACATATGATGGGTAGGATCACTTTCATAAACGGCGCACGGGGGCCGCTACCGTTCGGTAAATTGAAAGTTATCCATGTCAAGAGAGGCGGGTGGATGTCGACTGAGATTGGAGCGGAATCCCCTTCATCGAGCACTGTGTACTATTGTGAAAACTCCCGCGCTGTGAGAAAGAAAGATATATGAAATCGTTATAGAGAACGTATGTTACATGGTTTGACAATTACCTGAGGGAATAATAAGTTGGGGTCGAGTAGGTGACTAGTACTCACCGGTACTGAGCGCCGATTTTCGTGGCGACTCAGAACGAGAGGTTGAGAAATCTCTTCAAAACACTACTTTGAAGGATAATGAGTGACGGGAGACAACTGAACGGGAAGCTTTGCCAGGATCCCATGTAGTGAAGCGAAACCTGATGCATAGGGCGAGAGTGTCAACCCGAAAACACCAAAAGGCTTGCAGCTACGGTCGCTTTTAGTCTTTGAGATAATAAAGAACGAGACCCTAGACCTCCAAGGCCTCACAAAGGACTTCGTTCAGCCCGATGCCAGTAAAAACTCGAGCTCTGGTCAGCCAATACTCTTATCCACGTCTGCCAATCATCGAACCAAACTCCAATATATAAATGACTTTGGAGCTTAACCTTGTGCAGAGAGAATGATAGCGAGTGAGGAGAGGACCCACTAGCCAGCCAGGTCGAGGGGGAAAAGCATGTAGACTTGTCGGAAGACTCTGTAATTTTACCAAATCACTCGGACCATACTTTCCATACAAATTAGTCGCCACCCAAGCGAGGTCTGTCCCGTTCGGGGTGGGATGAGGACGAACCGACCCGAGTCGACCGTCGGATGCCGCCATGTCGATGTGAAAGGAAGGCTAACAATGAAATCGAAGACAAAAACGCGACTCCCGACTCCCAAAACGCGGTCACATGATAAAGTCCTAACTCTGGGGACGTGCACGCCACACGGTGCGTTTGATACTAATCGGAACGCACTCTCCTTTTGGTTTGCCTCGGGGACTGGAGGGATCGATAAACTCAGATTCAGTCCCCCTCTCCCCCAGACCGTGCAAACCACCTCAAAGTGTGCCATGTTCGGCGTCTCGCATCCTACAACTCAAGCCTACGTCCGTTAATCACAGGTGGCCTGCAGCTTGCCAATCTTTTATAGTCATGAATGATACAGAGCTTTCGAAAGCTAAAAAGCATAAAGAATTGATTAATCATGACGCGGCGGGGGCGCCATTCAACAACCAAGTAACAGCGTTCTCAAAGTCTTCTACAAACTTCCGACAGATCTTCGTATCCGGAGCGGCAATTTCGAATCCGTGAGGGACGCCGGGGTAGCTTTTGGGAGTAAGGAATAAGTTGGTGACGCATTCAAGAATATTGGAAAATCAGACTTACATCTCGAACTTTGTCTTAACCCCACTGGCACGCAACTCCTTTTCATACAAAAGCGCCTCATCCCGCAGGGGATCTAATCCACAGACTTGCAAGAAGGCAGGGGGTAGGCCTTTGTGAGAAGGGAAGAGGAGAGGTGACATTCGCGGGTCGTTGGGTGGGGCTTGGTACCAGTCTACGAGACGATGAGCTCGAACAGCAAGGGGGGGAAAAAACGACCGAACGCACCGAAGAAAGCTCTCATCATCTTCTTGTCCAAGAACGGAGCATCCTTGTTTTGCTCCATTGACAGAAGCTGGGATTTGTGCCTAATCGTTTTCAGTAGGAGGCACCGGAACACTTTGCACGGGTAGTACTCACTTCTCGGGGTACGCATCAGGATGACAAGTCACGGGAATCACGAGGATCTGGCCCGTGAGTGGTTTCGTCTTTGAAAGGGGATCGTCGCGGTATAGGTGGGCCGTGACTGCTGTAAGATTTCCACCTGCGGACGTACCGCCGATGAGGAATCCCTTAGATAAATCGGCGCCGAACGAGTCTTCGTTGTTCGCGACCTAGGGTGAGAGTGAGCTCGGTGACCGTCGATGACGGCGAGGAACAGAACTGTACATATTTGAGAGCATTCAAACAGTCGTTCGGTGAGGCGGGGAATGGGTTTTCGGGCGCCAGTCTAAAGATTCGAGTCGAGAAGTATCAGTCATCACGAGGGGTAGCATGTAACATGTAACAACCACATACCGATATTCGCAGTTGACGACGGCAACTCGACGCTCTACAGCGAGCTTTCGGCATTTGTAGTCGTCCCAATGAACATCGCCGATAGCCCACCCTGAGATTCGGTCATGGTCCCGAGATTCGGTCATGGTCAATACACTGATGACAGATCAAACAAAACGTTCCAAACCTCCTCCATGAATCCAAAACAGCAAAGGGAACTTGCCGTCTTCGCCGTCCTTTGGTGTTGGTACAACACACCTCGCAAGGACTTCTACGCCAGCTTCGACAGGAATTTGACGATCGGTGACCTTATAAGCCGATTCTGTGAGCGATTAGGATTATCGATCAATCTTGATGTTAGGACTGATGATCGCGAGGGTCAGTACCCACCAGGGGGCATCCCGACCTTCTCAAACAACGCGCGAGCAGCGGGACCAATCATGTTGACAGAGCCGGCTCGGCAAGTGGCCAGATCGTCGGTAAGGGCGGGGGGAGCTGGAGGAAGCTTTGATACGACCTCGAGGAATTCGGGGTTCATTTCTGATAAGTGTGCGTATTCTGCCATGTTGAAGATGTAAGGAAGAAGACCTGGGTGAGTGAAAGATGTGAGGTCGTGTTCTTATATGTGTTTCTGGTGGTCAGGTGAGACTCAGTGTACACGGAGTATAGATGGAAATTGAATGTTCGAGGATGAAACGTTAGGGAGTCCAAGGTCTAGTGACTTCGAGCAATTGAGTGGTTTTTGTCATCGGTTCCTATCCGATCCTAGTCGACCCTACTAGCTTATCAGCAATCAAATGTGATGACATGCATCTGGCTTTGCCTGGAATATTCCCCGCGAATTGGGCTTGCACAGAAGGATAAGAGGCTGTAACAGGAAATCATGCGCGATGCATATTGGATATCATGGGACGGATGGGGAGCCGAGGACGTTTGCTGCAGTGAAGCAAAGTCAAAGGTTTTGATTCGTGTGCGGCCAGTGGGAGGCCGATTGATTCCCAGTCCGTCTGAGCTTCAAAAGTCAAGAAATTTTGGATCTAGGGGTGTCTGAAGCGACAAATCAGGAGCGACACTTTCGTTTCCCCCATGATCTTTCAAGAGTTTCGGCGTAGCAGAAGAAGAGGTTTGACAGTGGGAAAGCATTGAAGCTTGTTGAAGATGAAGGCAATACCTTCGCTCCAAAAACAATGGGTTTGTAGACCCGACATGAGAGCGTTGGAAGCTACCGGAGACAAGGACTATGCTCGTAAAAATGTCCAGGCATCAGTAATAAGCTTCTCCAACGATTCTCCCTTGATATGCGTAGCGTACGTGAGTTGTTATGCTGATGGCGAGGCTGGCCGCTGGACAGAACTCCCCTGTCCGCAGTGCAGTGAGGTCAGGCTCGGATCTCGTCTCTCCTCACCTTCCACTGATTATCGCTCGGCATCCTCAAGCCTTTCGAGCCACCCATTCGTTCCAGTGCCGAGGAACGGGCGCACCTACTCTGACCATTTATGTAGACTCCAACTCTTCCTCACTTGACGAAAGGTAAGATGGGGAGGTCTACCGATGCTTTCGATATTTAGTAGCGGAAGGGGAGGTTCCAGTAATGGTTCAATGCAGAGGGCGACAGCGCGGGCAAATATCCAGTGGGTCGCACAACGCGACGTGACCTTGATTCTTGTATGTAGCATAATATCGACAAGCTCGTTGACATATCGCTCTGATTGAAAGGTACGTAGCTATAAAGTTTAGAGACTTGAAGAATGGTGCAACGTACCAGAGACGCCGAGGGATAGGATATCCAGGTATCAGTTTGGAACTCGTCAGAGTCTGACAAGTCAGTCATGTGCATGGCGAGATCTAAGTAGAGCGGGTTGACGAACCAGGATTTGATACAGGCTTTCCAGTTAGCCCCAGAGCCCTCGAAGTTCGAGCGAGTAAACAAGGCCAAGGCTGTAACGAAGAAAGCCCTCGTGTGATGATGTCCCGGATTCGGAAGGACCGACGGCGACCGTGTTATCGGAGGCGGCCCGACACCCGGAATCCTTCTTCACCAGACGCCAGTGGCATGAGAACAAGACTTCAAGCCTGAACCTTCAAGCTTCAAGGCTTCGTGACCTCGAAACGGTTCAGCATGAGAATTGAGGCTACTGAATGATGCAGCTGGTAAGCAATCTTGAAAAACCCTCATTTCTCGTTGCTAAAAACCGGTAGTCTTCACGGTCAAACTCAACTCCCAAACTCCAAATTCAAGGGCTGGAACAAAAGGCTATCTAGGCTCTCTGTATGAGGCTTGAGGATGCTATCTCTGAGCTCAGGGTGTGATGTTAGTCGAAGAGTTGTAGGAAGCGAGCGTTTGAGTGGTTTTTTCAGATCAGTGGTGAGTAATTACTTGCTTTTTGCTTTTATCTCTCAGGCTACGATATCCTAAACTCCCTTCAGAAGAATATGCGATGATACCTCACGGTCTTCAAGCTTGAATAACTAGCGTCGAAACGCTGAAACTTCTAATGGAATGAGGTTACCCGGCCTGTTCAATGGTTCGCATAGGCTTAAGGCGATCGTGGCGTGTTCCCAGGAGGTTGAGCTACATTCATCCATATTAAGAGGTACATAGCATATCCGTTCGACTCTTAAAGGCAAGAAAAACTACGCAACACTACGTCTAGTCGGAATCTTTATACTTTCTCACTGGTGTACGTCTGCATTCCTTCACAGATCTCCCTCATTCTCTCTCAATCCATTAGTGCTAAAATTGGCAATGCGGCTTCTCTTCAACAGTCTCTAACCCTCCGAGA